CCCTCCCACCACGCCCACAGTGACTGGGCATGATTGTAGCCCAACACTTCAGAAGGGTGGTAGATTGGGAAATGCTACCTTAGGGTGCAATTCTGTGCACGTGAGGCAGAAACCTCCCCCTCTAATCCCCCACATTCCCCAGCTGCCATACTATAGTTGGCAGGGGAACTCTGGAAATGGAAGGGCATTTTCAGTCTAAACACAAAAAGAATTATACCCTTAGAGCAGGGGTCCTCAAACTTTTTCTAAAGGGGGCCAGTTGACAGGTGCCAGCAGTGGGCGTGGGCCACCAAGGGGGTGCTGGCAGGGGGGTGGGGGGCACTGGCCGGTGAGGGGGCGGGGCGCATGTGTGTACACAAGGCAAGGAGGGGACGGGGCCCATGGGACGGCGCTGGCTTGCTTGGGAAGAGATCGAGTCCAAAACGACCTCCTCACGAGCAAGCCACCGCTGGGCGCATGCATGGCGAGACACCGGCTTGCTTGCGAGGAGATCATTTTCTCCGAGCTAGTCCAAAATGACCTCCTCATGAGCAAGCTGCATGCCCAGCAAGTGCAAAACCTGTGAGGCAGGCCAGTTAAATGGGCATGGCGGGGCGGATCCAGCCCGCAGGCCTTAGTTTGAGAACCCATGCTTTAGAGGTTCATGAGACAGTCCCTCCCATCTTGTTTCAGAGCAATTTGAGACCTGCCCTCTTTTGCTCTACATTCAAAATTAAAGTTGTTTGTGTTTCTGATCTGTGTCTGACTTACTTGACATGGGTTTGATTATTATTTCTTTATATTTCAGAAAATGATTGCAAAACTTTTCTTGGAGTCATTATGTCTGAAAGGTAGTCCATAATTATTGCAAATATATCAATAACTAAATAATCTTTTAATTTTATAAACAGGTATAACTGAATTTATACAACACAGCATTTATACAATATGAATGTGGATTTTGTCCACATTCATAATGCCCATTCCTTGAAGCCTCCAGTGCACTGCATTTGGCTGGGTGGAAAAAAACAAACCATGGTTAAGCCATCCTTTTGCCTTACCAATAACTTAATTCTTATTCAACTCCTGGGATTAGACTCAAACAGCTAACTGAAAAGCAGCTGGGGAAAAAAGAAAGCCATGGGCTCCTTTCTGCAATATGCCACAGGCATCGCTGGGGTCAAAAATTCTTCAAGGACCACAAGGCAAAGCATATTAGTGAAATGGTGACTGCAGAAAAAAGCATTTGGCTAAATAGCCCTGATAAGGAAGCATTAAAAGGCCCCAGAGCCTCTGTTTACGTCCCCAGTTATTCTAAGGACTTTTTGCAATAGATAAGCCACAGTAATCTCCAATGCTCAGAATATAAATTTTCCACAATGCTCCTTTGAAAAACTGTTCTCAAAGCAAACAATACAGAATGACTGTAACCCTCGTGTGAGATGTCTGCTCAAGGAGTGCAAAATGAGACAATCTGCTCCGAAAGTTCTGCACCTGGCTCAGGTTTTTCGCGCGCTCTCGTGCTGCCTGAAGGAGAACGTGTGTCGCCAGTGCCACTCTGCAGTTCCCCCTCTGTGCCACAGAGGCGGCAGAACCTGCACTTGGCCACCACCAGCCCAAGCCCAGATCACGCGCTGCTTTTCCTCTGCTGCAGGGGTGGGAGGGGGTGCTGTGCGGCAGCAGCAGGAACAATCAAATCCTGATGGCTCCAGACTGTCCCAAGATCTCAGCACGCAGCTGCAATATCCAGTGATGTCAGCCACGTGCCAATGTCCTATGTTAGCCCCAGAGTCCTGCTGCATCAACAGACCAGCAGTTGCTCTGTAAAGATTCACTGGCCGCCTGCTGTGGCGCAAGCCACAGCTGGAAAACCACAGGCATGGCTCACTGGAGCACCCACTGGAGGTGGTGATGGCTCACTGGGCTGGGGAGCAGCACAATTTGCTGGTTGTACCTGCTGGAGGTGGTTGTGGAACTTCTGGGTTCGGGGCAGGGAGCAGCACAACGTGCCACTCTTCTGGCCCAGCCCTCTTGTGCTGCTTCTTGGGTGGTCCAACCCTGTTCTGGCAGAAAAATCTTCACGGGCAGGATTCTTTTGTGGGCAAATACTTGTTCTGATGTGTGTGTGTGTGTGTGTGTGTGTGTGTGTGTGTGTGTGTGTGTGTGTCGGCAGTGGTGGGGTGGGGGGACGACAGATCCTAAACAACTCATAACGATTTAGAGATCTCTTGCTTCCCCATGTGAAGTTTTGTGAAGCGAATGGGATCTCAGCCTTAAGCTGTATCCTCATATGATGCCTTAGGGTACAATCCTGTGCACGTTTAGACAGAAGAAACTAATTCAATTCCAAGTATTCCCCAGCTGGCCATACTGACTGGGGGATGCTAGGAGCTGTATGGCTTCTTTCTGTCTAAACATGGATAGGATCGCTCCCTTAGGCAAATTAAAAAAATTCCATAACCCATTTTGTGCCTTACTGAAGAACATAACAATAATACCTGAGCTGCAATGTTCCTTCCATAAAGTTTCAATCAGTATATGACAGCCTGGCTGGCTGGCACAACCATCGTTTTTCTTAAAATCTTAAAATAAGATGTCCCATCTTTCTAAGATCAAAATAATCCTGCAGTCCTAAACACATTTACCTGGGAGTAAGACATACAGGATTGCATTGTAAGGTTATTTTAAATTTATCTGATGTTGTCTTTGACTTAATAAATCAATACAAATAAACATTCAATTTCACTGCAAAATTCAAAAATATTCCTAGACACTATTACAAACCAGTTTGACAATATAAAGGAATTGCTTTGTCATTAAGGTTGCAAAATTAAATTTCTTCTAGATATGCCCCCTGCATCAAAGAGGAAATACTTAGAATGTTCTTGTTCTGAAATTTTCACTTAAGTTAATTTCCTTTCTATTTTGATTATAGAGTTGGGCGACTGCCTGTTTTCTCATATCAGGTTGATAATAATATGCAGTTTTCCTAGATATAGCTAAGATATAAGAACTGGAAATCAAAGGATAATTAAGGACAAACCTGAAAATCAATTACTGGTTGTTAGGATGTTGTTACAACTATGCTTAAATGTAAATATATTTGCTAATATTGTTCTAATTAAACAGTGTGTCCCATCTTGTGGGTAGAGTCAATGGTTCATAATATAATTATTTTCCTTTTATGTGAAACGTTTCTGTTCTAGTCCATCATCTGTTCATCAGAAGCAAATAATCTTGTTACTGAAATAACCCTGGACTTAAATTTTCAAATGAAGGATGTTATGGCTTGGCACCCAACAACTGAATAAACTGTTGCTAATATCACCTTCCAGTTTTGATTTGTGATAGACTAATATACCTGGTACATCACTGGAATATGTTTACACTTAAGGGTGTCTATGTTAAGCTTATGCGAAAATCTTGCTCTGTGGGCACAAGGGCCCAATGTGGATAGGGCTGTATCATCAAGGTGCAATCCTATGCATCTTTTTAGAACAAGGAAAGTCAGCTAGGGCTTCTCTACATAAAGCACTGGCCCTGCTGTTTTTCAAGGCTTTTTTCTTTGCAGGAGGTAGAATGTCTCAGTTAAACATTTTTTTTCTTTCTCTGCCTAATTTTTTCTGTTCCACAAGGCAAAAGGTGGGTGGTGTGATATATTGGAATTGCTAATTTCCACATGCATTTCCTAGCATTTTATAATAAAATAAAGGAATAATGTAATAATGGCTCATTATCCTTGCTCTAAAAAGCAGCTGTGAAAATGGCTGAAGATCAAGGGAGAGGAGGAAGACATATGCGTAAGGAGTGAAGGATCACAAGCACACAATAATTGCCTGCTGCAAAAAAGCCGTTTTCCAGGATGCCTCCCTGATTTGCTTGTGAAACACATGCAAATTTGCTCTACCACAGTGCTACCTCGTGCTATGTAGCGGAACTTATCTGAGCATAGAGAAAATCGGAGGGAAACTCCTTGTGAAGAAATGCTTCTATAAAGGATGCTGCAGGGCTTCTTTGCATGAGGCACTGAACCTGCTTTACCCAGGTTGCTTCTTCCTTTTTCTTTGCTGAAAGATTGCATTGCCAATCACAGGAGGAGATTTTGTGTGTATTTTTTCTGTGGCAAATAAGAATGTCATCCTGTCAGGAAAAATGCTGCATTATTTTCTCTTTAAAAAATGAAAATACCTCTTAAAATGGGAGTGACCCAGGACCCATGAACTTCTGCAAGGGAATGCAAGTGCACAATAAATGCCTCCTACAGAAAAGTCTACAATCTTCTCAAAAATAAATAGGAGAGCCAGTGTGGTGTAGTGGTTAAGTGCAGGGGTAGGAGTGAGGATTCTAGTCCTCACTCTTCACAGACTCTCAGCCCAACCTACCTCACAGGCTTGTTGTAAGGACAAGATTAAAATGAAGAGAGTTATGTAAGCAGTCTTGAGTTCCTTGAAAGCAAAAAAAGGCAGTCTGTAAATATAATAAATGAATAAAGTTTGAAGAAGCAGCTTCCATGAGATGCTGCGTTAAATACTTCATGCCAAGAAGCACTTAGCGCATCTGGGCCATAGGAGGAGCTGCAGAACACATACACAAGCTGGGCTGCTGTTTTTGTGTTACACTTTCGCTAGGATTTTGTCTTTAATAGGGATTTTATTGCCAGCCGCCTCGAGTGCCATCGTGGAGGGACAGCAGCAAGAAGTTTCACATTAATAATTAATCTGAATTAAGTTAATAAGCAGTAAATTAACAAAAAGTAGTAAAAAAAAGGCGGAACAATCGCCAGGTCGACCTTCGCTTCCCAGCCAAGCCTCATTCATGAGGCCCCTCCGCCCTCCGCAGAGCGCAAGTTTGCCCGAGGCCGCCCCTTTCCGCACCGCCGAACAGCAGCGAACACGGGGGACTTGCGCCGGCCGTTCTAGGTTCCTCGCTGCTGGAGGAGACAGAGAGAAGGCCGGGCTAGGCAACGCCGGGCGGGGCAAAGGAAGGCGGGCCACCCGGCCGGTCTGGGAGCAGCAGGTTCTTCGGCACGGAGCAGCGCCCCGCAGCAGGCCCAGCTCGTCGGGATGGTGCTGCTGCTGGTCGTCATGGGAGTGAGCGGCTCCGGGAAGTAGGTGCCGCCCCCCAGCGGGTGCGTGGGAAAAGCGTGGTCGGCTTAGCAGAGGCGGCTCTTGGGCTGCGCCTAAGAGGGGGCGTGCTTTCCAAAGGGAGGGGAGATTCCTTTGCAAGGCTGAAAGCAGCACCTGCTGCCGCTGCCGCATCCGGTTCTCCGAAGGATCATTTCCCCCTTAAGGGCCTTTTTGCGCAGGCGGGCGGAATTGTTAGACCCGTGCGGTGCTGCTAGAAAGCCGCGGTCAATACGCGAACTCTTGGGAATATATGTGCACGGCGCTCGAGGGGAGGCGCAGCTCGGCGGGGAGCGGAAAAGGAGCAATTCCGGGACCTCTCTGTCCAGAAGGAACACGTGTCTTGTGTCACGGACACAAGGGACATGCTTCGGATCTTACACAGAACATCTCTGCGACACGTTTATGCTTGTGTCTTATGCGTGTCCCCTCAGGTGGACCAGAGTATGCATGTGGAAGGAAAAGCTTTAAGAAGAGTGTGCAAGCTCAGGAGCATTTCAGATTATCAGTTTAGAGTCTTGGTACTGGAGCCTTAAATTTGTATTATTGTTATTATTTCACTGTATGTGTTCCTTCTCACTGCTAAAAGCAGTGGCAGAATGACTTGGATACCCAAATACAGAAATATATAGTTAAGCAGAGGGCCAGGGATCCAGAATCAGTATTGTAATGAGCACAATACAGATTCCTGGATTTTTACTCAGAACTCTTATGGGGAATGAAAGAGAGAGGAAAAAACTGTTCGAAGGGCCAAAACAGATGTTATATGTGTAGTAATAGCATTTTTAAAAACTTCTATAGTAGGGTTAGGGGTTCTTATCAAGACCAAAGCACTGGAAGAGACAGGAGCAGTTTTAAGATCTGCATTGGTTCCCTGACACTTACTCTAGAGAAAAAAAAGACAAATCTACTTGATGTACATCTGTTTTGGCTCTCAGTTTTGGAGAATGTCTTGGAAAAGGACCACATCAGTCACATCTCTCAGTAATGTGTAACTTGGGCAGTAGTGCTGATAGGCCTTTCTTCTGTAAATCATTACCTGACCCTAGAGGAAAGTAAGCTCCCACAAATCATGTTATAGCATTATGCCCTCGTCATTAAATAATTTGCTTGCCTGCAAAGCAAACAGACCACCAATGTTCAGAAATTTAATCCAGTGTGCCTGATAAATGGCGGCTCTTCACAGGCCAAGAGACAAGCTGAGCAGAGACTCATCAGAACAAATCTGGAGTGGACAACAAGCCATGGCTTCTCTAACTTGTTACATTTGAATGGGCCTGTGGGTGCTTGCTGCCTGTTGCCTCTATAGAAAGTGGGGCAACAGAACACAGAAATCTCCAACACATGCTTTTGCTTTAGTTGTGTGTTCGTTTTATTTTTAAAATTATGGCCTGCATAAAAATGCACCATGTACTCAAGGTGACAGAGAAATGCAAATATCTAAAAAAAGTAACTTTAAAATGAATTAAACGCATACCTTCAGACCTGCTGGAAAATAACACACTTGGCTGTTCACCAAAAGGCAAATAGCAGCAAAGGCAAGTTTTGGCACTGCATTCCACTCTCTTGGGGCTATTGTGGAAAATGCTTTCTGCCCTCTTACCCAGCCTCAGATGAAGCGGTGGGGTAACAGGCAGACCGGGACTCTGTAGATGATCACAAGGCCTGGTTCATATGGCGCAGCAGGTTAGGGTTAGACTCTAAAGTTAGTGCAGGAATGAACTTTAAGTGAGAAACTCATTTGTTTACTGGTTCTTATAGATAGAATTATTATGCCACTGTTGCAAACCTACCCTGCTGTTTGTGCATGTCTTTAGTACTGAGGCTTTGTTATTAAAAACAGTAGCAAGCATTACTTTGCTCAAAGTCTTGCCACAGCCATGGAATTGCCCTTAATGTGATTAGGACATCCTGCTGTAGAGCAGTGTCGAGAGCCCTGTGCTAGACATGAAATTCAGGTTTGGTCTCAAGTATAGGCGCATACAGTCAAGAAGTTCAAATGTTTGTTTTCTTCCATGATAGGTGTGAAAGGATGATTTGAAACAAGTGAGTAGCAAGATTTAAAAAGTAGCAAGATTACTTGGCCTAAAGGATGGGAGGGGCTAAAATCAGGTAGCACAAAGTGTGGGAAAACAGGCACGCAGGCAGGAGGGCCTGATTGTTTATTGACAAGCTTGGCAGAACAAAATGAGCCTGTTGTAGCTCACCAGGGGCAGGGCTGGATTGGGAAGAAGGGCCGGTATTGGAGCAGCACAGAGTAGGTGGGTGGGAAAGATTGTAAACTCCCGGTATCCCAGCCAATGAGGGGAAAGGAGGAGAGAGAAGCAGCCGGCGGCAGGGCATAAAATGGGATGTGAACATGTGCCCAGGTGAGCTGCAAAATGGGAAGGAAACCATTTTCCATTCCCTTTGTTGCAATAAAGTTTTAAAAAGAACTCTGCATGCTTGGAATATTTTTCTCTTCCAAAGGAAAGGGAAGAGTGTTTCTAACTCTCCATGGAGGCAGCAGATGATTCTACTACAATTGAAGGATAGTACATTTCAGTCAATTGAAATTATATAGCTGACGTTCATTACTTTAGAAATATAAGTAGCATTGAGATGCATGACAAGCCACCTTCTTTGTTTTAGCCTGTGGCAAAACTAATTGCTAAAACAACAGAATACATGTTTAGAATGAGGCTGACACATATTTTGATTTGAGGAGTAGTTATTGTTTCACAGGGAAATAAAAACTGCCAAAGTACACAGCTCAAGTGTTGTGAGGTTGTCTTGCTTTGTCTTGTGTTTTGTTCCAGTATTGTTGGGGATCTTCTGATGTGAAAACTTAATTCCCTGTTACATGAAGAAGCCTCTGTGGGTGTGTTCAACACCCACGCATATATGTCATAACTAATTTGATGCCCTTTTTCCAAGTATTACTTTGGAAGAGACTGTACCATTGTCAAAGGTCTTCCTGCCATAATTGCACTGTTCAAATTGCATATTTAAAGTTTTTATTTTGTAGGAGCAGCTGTTTGTCAATCAGTGTCATATACTGCCAACCATTCAGTAAGGTTGTAATCATTTACCTGGGAGAGTCCCACTGAATTGAGAGGCCTTTCTTTTGTGCAGACATACAGGACTGCACTATAAGTGAGAATTAGTGCTGTTTGCCTTACAATTTCTTCAGAGCAGGGTTGGCCAAGCTATACTCAAAAGAGAGAAGCAGGACTCCTTGGAAGGGATGTAAGCCTGTGAGGAATAAAGACTCACTTTACTCACTTCTAGTACTGAAAAGTGATATAAGGGTTAACTCTTGTATGAACTCCTGATAGAATGATGAAAGGTTGGACTTGATGGTCTTCACTTTTATTTTGAATGGTAAATACATATTCATTTACTTCAAATTATGCTAAGAGAAACCTGTGCATTCTGCTGAGTGGAGCCCTAGTCATCTCTTTCAAAGTGGCTTTGATAGTCATGACTGCAAGACTTGCAGCAATCCTTTGTATGACTTGTTCTGATCACCAGTTGCATGTGGATAAAATACATCTGTCAGTGTTATCATACAGTAGTTTTTGTGACTCTCCACCAGTTGATTTATTATTTCGAATGCATTTATATGTTTGTTATATTTATATTGTATCATTTTCCTGCAGAGGGGCTTATTTAATCCTCCTCCTCCCCCATGACATTTTACCCTCACGACAGCAACTCAGCTATCCATTGCGCTTCACAGCTGTCTAGGGACTAGACCTGGATCTCCCAGGTCGTAGGCCAGTGATGGCGAACACTTTAGAGACCGATTGACCACACTGCAACCCAAAACCCACTTATTTATCACAAAGTGCCAACACTACAATAAACCCTGAAAATGGAGGTAGTAGTTTAGAAAAAAACGACCACAGACAGGCCAAGTAAACATGTATGTATACCCTGGGCAGCGCACTGACCAGCCACGCAAAACCTTGGACGAATAACGGATAATGAGTCATGGCATGTAAGAGGTCATCTCCTGGTGCCACCAATCCATTCCAAGCATCCGCATGGCCCCTACATGCACAGTTACCCAATGTTTGGTTGTTGTAGCGATGCAGGGGTGACATGGCATGCGTGCTGACAAAGAAGGCTCTGCATGCACACTGCGGCAAGCATGCCATAGGTTCACCGCCACAGCCCTAATCCTACCCAGGTGCACCCGCTAACCTTAATACAGGGCGAAAGATCCATAGCAAAGAGGGTGATTTTGGAAAGCATGCCTTGAGTAGTTTTTCTGCACTACTCATCATATCTGCTGATTCTAAACAAAGTCCAACCATGAAAATCATACCAGGACACCCCGTTTTTCTAACCCTTCCCTGGAGCACACCCCTAACCCTAATAGAGCGCAAAAGTTCCATAGATAATAATGCGGTTATGAAAAAGCCTTCCTTGTGTAGCTTTATCTGCACAGCTCAACATTTCTGCCCATTCTAAACAGACTCCAACCATCAAAATCATGCCAGGGCACCTCATTTTACCAACCCTAACCCTACACTTGTGCACACACCTAACCCTAATAGAGGGCTAAACTTCCATTTAGCATAATGCGATTTTGAAAAACCCTTCCATGACTAGGTTTTTCTCCACAGCTCATCATTTCTGCTCATTCTAAATACATTTCAACCGTCAAATTCATGCCAGGGCACCTCTTTTTTCCAAACCTAGCCTTACCCTGATTCACAGCCCTAATCCTATGCGTAACAGGGGCAAAAGTTCCTTGAAAGGATGGAGATTCTCAAAAAGCCTTCCTTCGTTAGCTTTTTCTACACAGCTCATCATTTCTGCTCGTTCTATACCCATTCCAACCATTAAAATCATACCAGTGCACCTCCTTTACTATCCCTAACCCTACCCTTGTGCTCCCCCCTAAACCTGATAGAGGGCTAAAGCTCCATGGAAAATAATGAGATTATGAAAAACCCTTCCTTGAGTAGCTTTTTCTGCACAGCTCATTGTATCTGCCCATTATAAACACACTCCAACCATCAAAATCATGCCAGGAATCCTCGTTTTCCTAACCCTAACCCTAACCTCGTTCATATCCCTAACCCTTTCAGAGGGCTAAAGTTCCATGGAAAATAATGTGATTCTGAAAAAGCCTTCCTTGAGTAGCTTTTTCTGCACAGCTCGTTGTATCTGCCCATTTTAAACACATTCCAACCATCAAAATCATGCCAGAAAACCTCATTTTTCAAACCCTAACCCTACCCTGGTGTCCTCCCCTAACCCTATAAGAAAGAAAAGGTTCTATACAAAAGAGGGCGATTTTTAAAAAGCCTTCCTTGAGTAGCTTTTTCTGCACAGCTCATTGTATCTGCCCGTTTTAAACACACTCCAACCATCAAACTCATGCCAGGGCACCTCGTTTTCCTAACCCTAGCCCCAGCCTGGTTCATATCCCTAAACCTAATAGGGAGCTAAAGTTCCATTGAAAATAATGTGATTCTGAAAAAGCCTTCCTTGAGTAGCTTTTTCTGCACAGCTCATCATATATGTCCATTCTAAACACACTCCAAACATCAAACCATGCCAGGGCACTTCATTTTCCTAACCCTAACCCAATGATTGTGAACCTTTTAGGGACCAAGTGCCCAAACTGCAACCCAAAAACCACTTATTCATCGCAAAGTTCCCGCACTGCACTAAAACTTGAAAACCAGTTTTAGTTCAGAAAAAACAACTCTCAGCCAGTCCAAGCTTATGTGTGTATATGTATTTGTATGTATGTGTGCATGTGTGTACACACACACACACTCACTTGGCAGTGCACTGACCGGCCATATGAAAGCTTGGACGAGTCCCAGCTAATGAGTTGCAGCTCGTGACATTTCCTGGCGCTGCTCCTCCTTTCCGAGCATGCGCATGGCCCCTATGTGCTCTGTTATCTGATGCTCGGCTGCTGGGGTGATGCTGGGGCGGCTTTGCTCACCTGCCAACAGGGCTCTGCCTTCCCGCTGTGGCATGCGGGTCATAGGTTCTCCACCAGTGTCCTAGGCCAACACTCTTATGACTATACGACAATCATTCCTGCTTAAGAGCAGAGAAAGGCACCAACATGGTAACAGATAGGAACAATTGTTTTATTCAGTATCTTTCTTCCAGAACTTGCTTCTCTCCTTGCAGCATCCTTGCTTCTCAATTTTTTTCAGGAGTATTCCTTAGATTTCTCTTTCTTGTTTTACAGATCCACTGTGGGGCAGCAGTTGGCAGATAAGGTGAGATCATGCATTTCTTTGTATGTTCATTGTCTCTGTTGCAAGTTCTTTCATGTTGTGGTTGTTATTTAATAGGTTTATACTGCTTACCTTATTTTTAAAACATCTCTAAGCGGTTCACATCCTTAATGTGTTTAAATTTTCGTATAATCTTGTGCACATTTAGAAAGAAAAAAAGCCTAAGACCCTGGTATATCTGGCTGGGGCATATTGGGAATTCTAGGTCTTTTTTCCCTATATATTTGCATAGGATTTTGGCCCTCGGTGCATTATGACATACATTAAAGTGCTATTCAAATACATAATTGCTAGAACATTTGTATTAAAATAAATAATAAAACATTAAAACGAATGCAACAGCATAATTGCAAAAACATAATTACACTCACTCAGGGAAGGCTTGGGTGACGTCGGGTGCCTGAAGCCTGTTGCAGTTGGTGCTTCTTGGTGGGAACCAGCACAGAGAAGTTCCACTTCTGATTTAGTGCGAGAAACAGCAGTTTCTGAAAGAACCAGCAAGGCCTCCCCCAATGATCTCGGTGATACCACAGGTCTTCCCTGGGGAAGGTGATCTGCCGCATAACCTGGTCCTGGGTTTCGCAGGGCTTTATGACCAGCAGCAACACCCTGTATTTGGTGGGGCAGTGGATTCATGGGTGGTGCTGAGGGTGTATAGCATAACAGTTACATACCAATGCTCAGCAGAATCATGGGATCCAAGTGCTGAAAACTGAAATCAGTAATGTGACTGTTCCACAAACATTTGCTTGGGCTTATTGGGAAGTAGGTGCCAGGCTATTTCTCACAATGTTTCTGCTTTCAGGAGCACATGCAACTTGCATCCATTCCAGTTCTGTTGAGCAACAGTCAAATGAAATGCAGCCAAACCCAACCTTCCATTAAATGAGATTATTTTCAATCCATGGGACATATAGCTTGTCTCGTCCCTGAGTCAAGAATGGATAAATAATGCTATAATAAAAGAAAGTTTTGATGGATAAAGTATCGATACCATCCATTGGATGTTATTGCTTTGCTCTACTTGCAGCACTAAAACTTTCAAAAATGTGTTAGAAAAATTATAACTAGTTTGGTGATGTAAGGAGCCTGTAATCATTTGTAATTGCTTGGAATCACTGCTGCCTATTTTATTTTTATGTTATGCTAAAACAACCATTTGGATTCCTTTTTAGCTTGGATGGAAATTCTATGATGGTGATGACTATCACCCGGATGAGAACAAAAAGAAAATGGCTGAAGGAATACCTCTGAATGATCAGGTATTGTGCATGCTGCAAAAGCCAGAGAACACTTCAGAAGACTGCAGAAAATTGTTGACCATGGTATCCATGGGTCCAGAAACATCTGGCTTGCCCTTTTGCCTTGAGCGCTTCTGCAACATGCCCTGCTGCACAGAGAATCTGAACAGAAGTTAACAAAGCCCCGCCTCTTCCTTCCTCTCAGCCTATGCACAGTATACTTACTGATAAGGGCATGGGGAGTCCCTGAGCATTTCCTCTATCTATGTATGTATTCAACTGCTATACTGCCCAACAGCCAAAGTTTTCTGGGTGGTTTGGGACGATCTGTTAAAACAGAATCTAACATGCACTGCAGTATAAAAACATGCCATACAAAAAAATGACATTTAAACCACATATAAAATTCCAATAACTTAAGATAAAACCGGATTGAACTACTAACAAAGCCCCGACTAATTAAATGCCCTTCAGTAGAAGGTCTTGAGCTGGCACCGAAGGGGTAGTAAGGCCAAGCAGGCCTCAGTGGGGAGCTGGGTCCATAGCCCAAGGGAGCCACTGCTGAGAATGCCCTTTGTGTAGCCAGCAGCTGAGCCTCCCTTGGAGGTGGCAGTCGGTGGCAGACCCCAAAGGTTGACTGTAGTGTCTGTGTAGGTGGTGCTTGGGAGGAGCATTCTCTTAGATATTGTGGTAGGTGGAAACCAGCTCCCTGAATTGTGCTCAGAAGCATATAGGAAGCCAGTGCACATGGGCCAGAATTGATATGATTAGACCATCAGGTCCCCGTTGTGAGGCTAGCAGTGGTGTTTTGCACACGTTGCAGCTTCCAAACACTCTTCAAGGACAGCCCCACACAAAGTGCATTGCTGTAATCTAACCTAGCGTTCATCAGAGTATCAATTGCTGATAGCAGGCTCTCTCTGCCCAGATAGGGGCATAGCTGAGCCACCAGCCGGATCTGGTAGAAGGCACCCAGAACCCCTGAAGCCTCCTTAAGCACCAAGATGGCCCAAGGAGCACTTCCCACCTGGCCTCTCACCATGTTTTGCAAGTGACTGTACCTTGATGGATCGTTGCAGCACTCTGCTCTGTTGCAGCACTGGACTCTGCTCTGTATTTCGTGACCATCAGATCAGTTCACTTTATTGACCATATCAACATCCACATCTAAGCACATGAACCACCAGTATATTTCAAGCAAAGTTAAGCAATTTAAAATGTTTCTAATGAGAAAATTGCAGAAATATCTAACTGTCACGGACATCACTGAGACTTTACTTTCACAGCACATTCCTTGGCATGTTTACTCAGAGGCAAAGCCCTGTGTGTTCAGTGAGACTTACTGTTAGCTACGTGGTGGTGGTGATGATTCAATTTCTATCCTAACTTTTTTTCTCAAGAAGGACCAAAGGCAACTTCCATAGTCCTTCTCCTTAGGACAACAACTGCATGAGGTCGGTTGGGCTGTGAGTCCATGACTGGCGCAACGTCACTCAGTGAGCTTCGTGGCTGTGTGGGAACTAGAATTGCAGTCCCAGGCCAGCTTTCTCACCACCTTATCAGCCCAGCCCTAGCAGGATTGCAGCATCACTTTCTTTGGATGAAATTCTTTCTTGTGAGGAAGAATAACAACTCGTGGCAGAAAATGAGCTTTCCGTGGTGGTACAACAATGGAAAAACTTTTTGTGATGTGGCTGGTGATAGTTCAGGCAGTACAAAGTCATGCTTTACCCTTTAGTAAGCCATTCAAAGACCTTAAAGGCTTTAGGTTTTCAAAGAAAGCAGAACAAGAGTATCCACAAGATGAGCAATTAAGCATCCTTTGCATTCTTCTCTCCGCCCCCCTCATTTGTAAAAGTCCAGTGCAAGAACCTTAGGAGACCTTATTTGTCATGTAGTGTAGGAAGTACTTTTGCCTTAAGGATAATGAAAGAACACTCCTTTGCCTTAAGGATAATGAAAGAACACTCCTGCTCCAATGCCAGTTTATGATGAGCTGGCATTGCATATGATCACACATGATATGAAGGAGATGGGCCATAAGAGCGTTAGAAGAAACTCTTGAAGAACATTGTTAATTAAAATTAATGCCAGTGACTCTGTTTTTAATGGGAAAATCATACTTGCCTCGGTTTAACTCATCCTGAATCCGGTAGTGCTACACAATGCTAGATGTAGTCTGAGCATTGTCCCCTCTGTTTTTTATCAACCCTAATTTCACTTTCAGGAGAAACCATTTGTTGTGAGATCTATTTCAGTATTTGTCCCTAGTGATTCTTCCATTCTACATCCACAAACGTAACAGAATACTACTTCTTCATAGTATTACCACAGGGGTGAGGGAATGCTTTGTAAAGAAACTAAACAAACTTGTAGCAGACTTCACATACATGGTCATGTTTATAGTAATTTCACTACACCCAACATATAATATGTGCACTATACTGTATAGTTTTAAATGACTGAACTGCGATGTTTTACCAAGGAAATTTGGACAATAAATACTCCCTTTTTAAAGATCAGGGCTAATGAACTTTTTCACAGGTGTCTGTTTCCTGGTTTTTGTCGGGCAAAATCAAATTTTGTTCATGTTGCAGTAGGAGCCTCATTCTGCATATAATGAGTTGCTGGTTAGATTATGAGAAGAAACTGAAAGTCTGACTGAGAGGAAGATGGAAGCGTGCTCTGCAGTGAATGAAGTCTCCCAACCTTCCTTTACAACCTGGAAGTCTCCAAGCCATCATTTATAAAACTTGTCCAACATGAACTGGATGCAGTAAAGCTTTAACAATAAGCAATTACCAAGAAATCCGCAGGCAATGCAAAGCGTAAATTGGATTACACTGTGAACCTATTTGATCATTTTGATCGTTTGCCATAGTCATTTCAACCAAATGAACTAATGAGCAAAAAGTATTCCCTGAGAGGTGGCAAAAGAAAAACAGCTATGATGATGACTTATGATTGCTATTAATGTAACATATAGCGGTTGTGATGTATTTGTAGCAGGAAACTTTAATGGGGTTTGACAAACCTTTGTAAGTGTTATACGTTAGTCCAGAAAGAATGGCACATTGTGCTTAAGTCAGTCTATTATGCTTTGTAGGATCGGATCCCATGGCTTTGCCTTCTTCATGATATATTAATGAGGTAAGAGAATGAATGACTTACTTCATTAACTTGAATCCTGTCTTTAATGAGTCTGTGATAGAACATTCAAGTACCAAGAACATCTGTTGAGTACGAACTTCACTACACTTCAAGTATTTTGGTTTTTTAATAGGTATAGGCAGTCACCAGGTTCACATGTAATGACAGCTATCAACTGTGATCCACAAATGACCTCCTGCACACCACCTCCTTTTTTACTCCAGAACTCCTGTTCACTTCCTTCATAGGTTGTGGAATATGATGTATGAATCTGGATTGCTGGGTTATTTAGGAGTTAAACAACCAGGTGGTTTACCCGTGATTTGCAGAGTAGAAGTATCAAAGATGGATGCACTGCAGGTAGAATATCTGCAATCTTCTCATCCCCAACAGCCCATGGTTTTATTTAACCCATGGTCTGTCATCATGTGTGACCAAACCCTGTGGCTGGCTGAAAATCAGCAAGGCGGGTGTATGCATGTGCAGGGGGTGGGAGTGGTTAGCGGAGTTGAATATGATTTCCAGCAGTTAAAATTTCAGATTTTAAAGGCTGTGCTTAGTTCTGTCACCAATGACAAAAACAATGTATTATCAATATATAGAAATTATATGATGTCTAGAAATTTAATTGTTTTGATTCTTAGTACACACACTACATACTATAAGTAGGGGATGGATTGTGGGATTTGGAAACCTGGCTTCAGTTCCTAGCTCTGCCACAACTTTGAGTGATCCAGCACATTGACCGTAACGACTGAAGTACAGAAGAGGCAACCTGCATAGCCTTCCTGAGACAGTACTGCTTGAAACAAGGAGTCATGCCACTAGCTTCCAAGATTCCTTGCCTGTGGAGAATAAGCATAACAGGCTGTAGCCTAATTTCCTTATCACGATAGTTTTCTATGCAAAGGAACTTTCTGCATAGAGCAGAATTCTGCAATACTACCTGGGCTTAAAAGTGGTACAAACTATGAAGGTTGTACATCTTGAGTTTTTCCTAATCTTATTTCCCCAGTTCTAAGTCATTTAAAACAATGCGCACATGACATTCTATTAAGGAGTATAGATACTGACAAATTATTATTATTATTATTTTGCAGGGAACATGCATCTGGACAAAATGCAATTTTAGCCTGCTCAGCTCTGAAAAAAATGTATAGGTGTATCTTGGAGAACAGAGAGACCAACTGTCTGAGTGCGAGTGGTCAGCTAGAGAAACAAAAGGGACCTGTCCCACAAAAGATCCTTTTTGTCCATTTAGCCGGACCAAAGGACCTAATTGCTAGCCGTCTAGGAAAAAGAAAGGATCATTTTATGCCACCAGCTTTACTGCAGTCTCAGTTTGATACTCTTGAACCTCCATCAGCACCAGAAAACTTTATCACTATTAATTTGGGAAGACCTGTTTCTGAAATAGTATCTGAAATAGAAGAATATGTTAGAGGCTTGTATTGATACTTCAGGTTGGTTTATGAATTACAGGATGATCTCAAACAAGCATTGTTGTCTGTGTCCAGTTTATTCTTCAACTTTATTGTACTTGTTTAATTAGCACAAACTAAGATATTCCTTCATTTGTATGCTACACACATGCAATGTAAGCAAAGGTTTTCAAGTACATAGTATTGAAGTTCTATCAACTCTGAAAACTGCAACTGAAAATATAAGTATAAAAGTTAGGAAGCAGCTTATAGAAGGATCTTGTATTTGAGTTGTAACTCCTGGACAAGAATAGATTTGTTCCAAGTTTCCCTTCACTCTGACAGAACACAGTGCCATGTGGTGCCAGAAAAACTGTCAGAACAGTGCCATGCGAGAAACTATCACTAATTAAACTCTTATGCTGGTAGGATGCTTTCAGCACCAGAGATGGGGAAATAGAGTGGAATTAATGCTATAATGGAGAAGCAGCAGAGGTAATCCAAAGCTTGTCCATTGCTTTAACCCACCTCAAGCCTTCAGCAACAGCAGTGTTAGACCAGCAAAGAAATGGTATAAAGAAAACCATTTTCATTCAGCTTAAGTGACAGTGAATGCATGTTTACCACCTCTGACAAGTCACTGTCTGCTGAGGTACACACAATAGGTACACACAATCACTGTAGCCCACTGCAGTTCAAGCTATGGTGGATTGTAGGCTTTCCATTTGAATATTCAAGCCATGGTGGGTAGGTCCTGCAGCTTGTGGAATGATCTGGCCCTAGAAATGGTAACTTACATGAGGGTTGAACAGGCCTCTGAAGCACAATGAACTGCAACAGCTGTGTGAACTGGCCCAGCAGCTCAGGAGATTCAGAGTTGTGCATTAATGAACAATGTTGCATGAAAGCAGGAGACTAGACATTCCTGCCAAGTTTTTCAAAAACTCATATTCAAACAGGTTGTACAAGTTAAAAGCTGCATTGTAATGTTTAAGCCAGAAGTATAGCAGAAGTCCATTATTTGCACAGATCCACCCATCTTGAACTAGCAAACTTTAATTCATATCACTTGTATATGGCAAGCCATGGAAAGGAACTTTGGACAATAATTCCTTCAATAAATAATCTGAGTTACAAAATTTAAGTACAGGCTCTTTTCTGCAGATTTGATATAAGAAAGTTTGTTGAATAAATCAGGCTACAACTGTTTGCAGACAGCTGCAAATAGCAACTTTCAACATATATTCACAATCAGTTATTAATTCACATTCAAATACATAAACTAATACTTTATCAATGGAAAATTACAATTCATACAGATACTAGAAGAATGGGCAGGGGAAAACATAAAGGAGGTATAAAATTTTCTTTATTCACCCTGCCTCATTAGAGCAGAGGAAGAATATTTTTAATGAAAACATTGAAATACCTCAAAAAAAAAAATCTTAAAATATGTTCAAACTACAGTAGTGGCTCAAGAGTGCCCTCTTGTGGCATGATTACTAATTACTGTATTTTTCACTCTATATGATGCACCTGACCATAAGACGGACCTAGTTTTTAGAAGAGGGATCCATGGAAAGCTTCCTGATAATCACAGGCACATTCCCCATCACTTCCCCTTGGGCTTCATTAAAAGACGGGTTGCCATTTGAAAACACACACTGACCTGTGATTAACAGCTCTCACCTGCGCCGGAGGAGGGGGGGGGCGGAGCAGGGCACGCCGAGCGTGTGCCGGCCAGGTGTGGTGCAGCCGTGCCGGCAGTGGTCTTCCGGGCAGTGTGGTGGCGAGCAGTCTCCGTGCGGCCGGCGGGTTAAAGCCTGTGGCTCCTCCTCCTCTGCACGCCTCCCCCTGAGTGGCACAGCTCTCACCTGCGCCTGGGGGGAGCAGAGCAGGACGCGCTGAGCGCGTGCTGGCCATGTGGTGCCATGTGGTGCAGGTGGGCCGGCAGGGTCCTGGGCGTCGGGCACACACACATTCGCTCTATAAGACGCACAGACATTTCCCCTTACTTTTGGGGGGGG